TTTTTAAAAAGAATAAAATAATTATAGTAGATTACTACTATAATTATTATTTGATCAACTCTCGCTAGCCAAAAATATAATGGGGTAAGATATTCAACCTTGAATCAAAAACAAGCTCAAGGATTAAATTTTAATTGCATAAGTCAAACTTCTTGAATTCATGGACCAGAAAAAAATATAGACTCGGGAAGGTTTCGAGCAGGAGAAACGAAGAACAAAGCAGAGAGTTGTAATTTTTTTTTCTATAATGGGTCTTGAACTTCTTCTCAAATTCGTCAAACGGATGATAAACGTGAAGACAAAGGTCCATTTTCCCGATTCAGGCACTAAATTCCTCCAGGAAGTATTTTAGGAAGCATGTTTAAATCGTTTTTCTTTTTTGAGTTCCAGAAGTGTAGAAGATGGCCATCAAAAAATTTGAGTTTGAGCAGTTATTGTGGACGAGGGAAGTCTTACCGTTGGTAGGGATTGAAATCTATGATGTCTCATTTCAAAAGAAATCCTGACAATAGGTATCTGAAACAAATTTCAAGAAGCTTCACACATTTGACTTACGGATTTTTTAGATATTGATTTCCAGTTGTATTTATTTTGGTCAGTATGGATAAATAAGCGCCGAAAATTCGAATCAAATTTAAAACAGCCCAAAAAGTAGAAGATCACGGAAAAAACAGCTTCAAGATCCAATCTAAATGAACTACAAAAAAATATAAGAACATCAACAAGTTCGTTCACTACGTTTTCTGAAGGAGCACTTATTCGTGGTAACATGAAACTTGTCGGTGAAGTATGAAGTTGCCCGTCGTGGGTTGGTGCTCGTGATCTCATTCAAACGAAACCTCCCACATCATCTCTTTTCTACTGTTTTTTTTTTTTTAGAAAATACCACGTAAGCATATTCTCATATGTAAACCGGTTACGAGTATTTTCTGTATCATAAGAATCTATTTCGATGCAACGTACCCTGGGGCGCTCTTAGAAGGTTCTCATCCGCCTTTTTCATACAAACGCATTGTGCGTCTCGAAATCACGACGCCGAAACCCCGGAAACATCTTCACAGTTATATTTTTGGCCACTATCCCAAGAAATCCTCTAAAAAAAAACACAGAAAAAGATCACATTATTGTGCAAGATGGCATCAAAGCACATTTTTTGATCGCCAAAGTCCCTTCAGTAGGCTCTGGTCCTTTGTCTAAAAGAGACTCTTATAAGGGTCTGGACAGTTACCGTTTACCGCTTCGTTTTTACTTAACAAGCGCCGCTGCTATATCTCTATAAATAAGTAAAATAAAAATTTCGTATTTGTGGAGAGAAGTCAGGATGAAGAATCCTTGGCGAATATATATATATATATATATAATGAATGTGAAAAAAATTAAATGAAAATAATGCGATGGAATGATCACGAGCCACAATATATAAGAGCAGTTTTGCAAGACACCTTATATTGGCAACATGGGCGGCTAATCAAGCCAGACGTTTTCGGAACCAGGGCCCGAGGTTCTTGACTCCGAATCGCCGTGATTGATCGCCGACCCGTGGCTTCCGGTGCTAAACTTCCGGCACTCCGACACCGCAAAATAGTTTCCATCCACGGATCACCTTCTTTTCCACGCACTTCCACAAGAAAAACAAAAAACAAAAGCAGTTCACACTGCTAAATAAAATTACATTCCTGTGCCGCATTGTCCATCTGCAGTTTTCAGAAAACTTTTAGTTGACCGAGGAACGTTTTCGACGATTGGCAACGCAAAATTATGCTCGAAATTATATTCCACGTTTGAGCAAAATTGATTTTTCGGCGATTACGTTTGAGAAGCGAAAGATGCTCATCGAATTTGATTTCAAATTTGCGATTTCCTCTGCAAATGTACGAGGATTGTCCCAATGAAGGGCATATCTCAATGTATTTCTGATGGTGTGTCAATTTAAAGTCCGAAGTATTCACATTTATTCCATGATGTTTCTTAGAAACTTGATTGTTTAATTAGATTTTCAACACGTTTTTTGAAAACCCTGCATACTGAGAAGAGAAAACGTTCTGATTGCAGCAAAGTTTTCCACTCATCCCACAGTTCGCTGAAAATCTAATTGAAAATTTAAAAAATTGAAATTCCTTGTGGAGAAGATTAAGTTTTATTGCATGAAAACTGCAAGATTTGTGGAGGATCCGATTAAAATTTGTAAAAAATCGTTTTGTGCGTTGCACAGGTTTGGCGTGGATTTATAATTATTTAAATGTCTCTCACACCAACTTTCGCTGCTTCCTTGACAAATCCAATGTGGTGGTGTCTAGAAAAAAAAGGAAAAATGAGCAAGAGAGAGTCTGAACGAAGAGAGAATCGAACTTATCCTTGAAAATGTTGTGACTGTCCAACCGGAACATTAAATTTCATTTTCCACCACGAAAACAATGCCGAGACTTTTCTTCTGGCCCGAACAAAACAAAGGAAATAAGTGTATGGTACTGTTCCAGTGAGATGGGTTCCACTTTGCCAAACATTTTTTGCTCTGCGAACCAAGACAAATCGCTGAACCGCAGCATTTGCTCGTGGGAATCCAATACATTCGAATGATCTTGAAATACCTTTTTTTTTATCATTTTCCGCTATACATACAGCAGCTACTTTTGGCATCTAAGGTCATTACTGCTCATATTTTCAGTGTGAATCTGCCTGAAATTATTTTTTGCCCATGATCACGTTTAAATTATTTAACTCATCAATCCTTCTTATCTATTTAAATAATGCCCTTTTTCGACCACCTGCTTTTTTTTGAATGAGTATGTCAATTATTAGTGGAAATAGCTTCGGGATCCGCCCTTCGTTTGTCAAATCGATTTATAAATATGTGAGGATGTATCGACGTTGAGTTTGATCGATCATCGAAAAAAAAAATCGAAGGAATACATGAAGGAAATAATACGCTGATAAATCCGTCCCAGACGTCACAAAAATTAATAACGAACAAAATTACGAAGACATTTTCAAATTGGCCGAAATTGTATCCGGAATTTGCTGGTATATATACGTGAATATAATCCGACGTAATGTAGAGGGAAGTATTTTCTCTGAGAAAAATGTCTGTTGGTTGAATCAAATGATATTCATGGACCGATGTTTTATCGCTGCTGGATGAGTCATCGATTTTGATTTTATATATATATTTTTTTGGATTTTTTCTATTTGAAGGTGATATTCTTGGGTCTCGTGATGACCACAGTAGCTGATCCCCAGCGTCAGCGACCAGCATCGAACCCACGTCCGACTACCTCTAAACGTCCCACTGAGGCAATCAGTCAACAATCAGCATCAACGGTGTCAACATCTCAAAAAATGAGCAGCAGTGTCAGTAATTCTGCAAGCACCAAGCCGCAGACTGCAACTGCACCCCCGTCTTCATCTCAAACAATGTCCATGGCAGTTTCAGCCAGGGTCCCTTCCCAAGAACAAGGGGACGTGAAAAAGATGGACGCACTCAAGACGACTATGACAACTATGTCAGGGTCAACTTTGTCCAAGAGAACCACTGGTGTGAGTGAGGAGGACAGTTTGGATGACAGCAGCAGTGATGAAGACGACTCACGCAGCTCTAATAAATATGTAAGTTTTAACCAGTGTTTGCATTTGTTAGGAAGGAACAGTTGAAACCCTGGCTAAGCCTCAAATGATGACAGGCTTCTTTCTATTTTAGGGTGAATTTAAGATTTTCTTGCACAAATCCTCATTTCGGTTTGAACAAAGGTCTTCAAAAATCCATCATTCTGTCTGATCAGCAGCTTGCTACGAATGATGTATTCATGCATATGTGTCTGTTCCCCATGATTGTTTCGATCATAGCAAAAAGGAAATTATCCTACTATTTGATAAAAAATAGAACATAATATTTTTTCTGGGACAAATACAGGTGGTCTTTGGTAGTACAGTAACGTTATTCCACAGAGGTTCAAAAAACATCGAAATTCCATAATTTCTGTCAATTTAACAGAACACCATTTGGTTGCTTTTCATGTTCTGAAGGGAACATACAATTCAGGAACATGAATCCAAAATGTTATCTTTTAAATACCATTGCATTGATTTCACCTAGTAAATCCTACAAAATGTTGGCGTCAAAATAATTATAAATTTTTCCTCAGCTGATTATTGCAAAAATACCAAACGCACTCTACATGTCCTCGATTTTAGTCCTCTTCCGTTACGTTTAACCGAAGACTATTTAATATCAGCTCTTGTTTTCGGATTCACAAGTTCAAAAGTTCCTCGAAAAACATTAACTTTCTAGGAGGGAAAAATTAGGCGGAAGAATTACTGCATATGTTAAGTACCTCGCTTCGGTACTCGTATTTACCTACCACTTGCGTAATGGATGCCCTTTATATTGCTTTCAGGTTCACCCGATGAACTTGAATACTAAAACAAAAGGAATCGTCCCAAGGAAAATACCAGACAAAGGAATTGAATTAAATTAATATAAAACAACTACCATGTCCTTATCTCATGCCATAACAGACAAAAGTCCCTGATTTGTATCTCTTATAACTTGTTTCTGCATGTCGCGTAATTGAAAACAGAATATGCTTCCCGAAACTTCGTGAACTTCGATATTTCTTGCGAAAAAGCCCAGTTATTGCGCAAGAGAAATTCCCGGAAAATGTTTAGTAATTTTTAAACGTGTCTATATATATTTTTTTCAGGGCACTACTGATTTCCAGCCGACGGAAAATAAAAATGTTCCTGCAGTGAACAACAACAAATGGAGTGACAGAACCGCTTACACCAGACTCATCAACATGACCAGAGTCGATCGTGAGTATGAATAAACATTTATTCTCAGAAATGTCCGATATGGAATCGTCATAATCTAGTCATATTGAATGGGATGGATTTTTTTCATTCACATTGTCCTCGCCTCGAATTTCCAGATATTGAAGCCGAATGCCAAGATGATTTCATGAAGATATTCATCCGGTTCAACGGGACTTTCGATGGCTTGATTTACTCTTCCGGATACAGTTACGACCCCGACTGCATCTACATAAACGGAAGCGGAAAGAGTGACTACGAGTTCTTCATCCAGCTCAACAGATGCGGAACATTGGGCGGCAACAACCACGACACAGTGGATAAAAGCAGAAATCAGCCTTCAGTGAGTTAATCCAAAAGTTATTCTTTACAAATAGATAAAATGTTTTTTTATTTGTTGATTATATAAGAAGTCGTGCATTGAACGAGCTGGTGATTGAGTTTAGTTCAATCCGATCAGAGAGAACTTCCGAACGAACTTTTAACGATATTCTGAAAGTTTCTTGCAAAAAAACGGCATACTAGTGTATACGTATGTAGTTTCTCATATTCATGATCACGACGTGGAGCATTTGTCAAGATATTTTTGGCAGAGCAAATATTTATTGAGGAAAAATAAATGATGATGAAGGCATGCGAAGAATGATGTGTTGGAGAGTCGTCATTTAATTTCACTGCTCTTGTCTTCTGTGTAATAGTGAACGATAGATTTAAAAAAAATTACTTGAAGCCGTTTTTCAATTTTGTCTCGAGTAAATTCTGATTGATGATTTTAACGCAAAATAAGATGATTTACTCATAAAATTCCAAATCTAGGCTATTTATTCAGGAATTAATTGCACCAGAATCGCTCATATTTATCGTAAATGAAAAGATGAATAAATACTGTATAGAAGAATTTTCGGAAGCTTCCCATCATTCATTCCTGCTCTTGATTGCATCGGAAAAACTTATTTCTTGTGATATAATTGAGGGATATGCTCGGAAGAGAAATTTTTCATTTTGGCTTGAAGAAATTCGAAATTACTTTCATTTTCTTAAGCATACGTATTTCGGAATAAATGTTTGCATATTGCATATCATTAATAGCGCCATAAACATTTTCTTATGCATTTAAATGATGTACAAAAAAAGAAGGACATTAAGGAGCCCGTTTTTAAGTTTGACTTGGCTAATTTCAACAATTTTGAGTTCATATTCAGAGGTGTAAATAATTCAGTGGATCTATTCTTGGATCTGAACTGTAGAGTATTTCCTGACATTCATTTGTTTTCGAATCACTATTTTTTCTACATTGAAAAGGTGAATAAAAATAGCGTTCTCTGTAGCCATTTTTTCAATTTGACTTGAAGAAATTTCAAGTGTCGCATTAGTTTTCTTATTCGAAAATAATTCAGAGTACAGTATATGTACTGTATTCTCGAATCTATCCTAGCTTATTTCCTGTGATTCATTGCGTCAGAGGCATTTTCTTGGGCATTGAAAAAAAAAAACTATAAGTCTTCATATTGAATTTTATTAATTTTTCTCTTGCAGAAAAGCTTCATGTGGAACACAGTGACAATTCAATACAACATGATGATCGAGGAAGAGTGGGATGAGCATTTCAAAGTCACCTGCGAATACGGCTACGATTTCTGGAAAACCGTCACTTTCCCGATGCTCGACGTTCAGTGAGTGTCATTCATCTTCCTTCTCGAGTACTCAACATAATAAAACACTATAATTGCTTCAAATATCCAGGGTTGCCACCGGAAACCCAGTCGTCTTCACCCTGACGCCTCCCGAGTGCCACATGGAAATTCGCTACGGATACGGAATCACAGGCAACAGAATCACTGGACCAGTTCGAGTTGGAGACCCCCTCACTCTCGTAATCTACATGAGAAGTCAATACGGTAATTTCAAAATAAAATCTCAATTACTTTGAATTTTCAATTAGCAGAATTGAGGCTTATTCCTCGCATGATTCAACATCAGCGTTTCGAACGCGTGTTTCGTGTTTAACTCCAATTTCCCGTCGATGAGCTCATCGGAACCACGATAATTACAGATTTTGTTTTCCTGACACAAATGGATTTCTGTTTAAATGTTGAGTATTTCCTGTGGAAATCGATGGCCCAGGAAACGATTCCATGTAAAGATTCACCGATGCGATTCCGTGGAACAGGTTTATTTCCTTTTCCGTGGAGTTAGCTCGTCTTCGCAAGAACTTGCTGATGGTGTAAAAACTTTCCACTCCATTACGCGTTAAACGTATGCGATATGATCATTTGTGACAATTTTGCAATCATGAAATTATTGCTTGAATGATTGCGGAAGGTTGTCTGATGTGCTCTATCCATTTGAAATACGGAAACTTCAGAAGAGTTCCTCCGAAATGAAACGGTTATTTTACGTTATTTGCCGGGAAATAAAAAAGAATAAAGAAATATTCCCTTTGAATTAAATGCATATATTCACGTTGAACCCATCAATTATTGGGAGAAATATGACAATTCTTCGACATTGGCGATGCATTCCAAAGAGATGCGTTGAAATAAAAGACATTCAAAGCTATTCGCAAAAAAAAAGATAATACTTGATGATTTATTCGTCATCCACATGCAATATTCTTATTCAAACTATCAAATAATGGACGAAGAAAAACAATTTTTAAATTATAGTGATGCATTTCGTGGAGTTGCTCTAAAATAAAACAGTTTCTTTAGTGGTGTCTCAAAAAAAGAAATATTCACAATGATTTAAATGCTCTTATTCATGCTGTTCCACCGATCAATTATTAAGAAAAAGATGGAAATTTTTGGATTTTGCTGGGGATGCATTCTGGAGAGTTGCTATGAAATACGTCGGTCCTTCATCACCATATTTTCAAGAATGAAGTCAGAAATATTTACGATGATTTAAATGCTCATAGTCATATTCAATGTAAAATTTATTGAGGGAAGGATGGAAATTTATTGATTTTATCGGTTAGAAAATCTAAGGAGTTGATTTAAAATAGAAGTCATTCGAATTGAACTATTTGAAAAAAAAATCTCGAAATATTTACGATTATTCATATGTACATATTTATACCAAACTTTCCAATTACTAGATTAAAAATAAAAATTCTTGAATTTTGGTGATGCATTCAAAAAAAAGTTGCTGTAACGTGACACTCATGGAAAGCTATTCGAAAAACATTCCCAAAATATTTCCGATGATTTAAACGCGCATATTTATGTTTAACCTATCAATTGCTTGGAAAGTCGAGATGACCATATTAAAATTTTTGTTTTGCATTCCAGAGGGATTTGATATGGTGGTGAACAACTGCTTTGCACACAACGGTGCCCAGAAGAAAATCCCGCTGATCGACAGATTCGGGTGAGTTTTTCACAAAATGCGACTTTATCCTATGCGATAGATTTCTCAACTTAAGTATTACAAGTGTCTTTCTTTTTTTAAATCACATGATCAAATTCAGCATCACCCCTGGAGCTTCCAAAATTTCCGCGCTCGTGCAAACGATGCCGCAATGCCCCGAGGCACAGGTACCTGGCGTCACGGGCTAATTTCTCGATATAATCAAAATTTTCCAGGTGTCCTGTGGATGAGAAGCTAATTAGTAGTTTCCAAGGAACTTGGACGAATGATGGAGTTTATGAAACCCAGGTGTACGCGTACATGAAGGCCTTCAGGTTCACCGGCAGTCCTGCTTTGTACTTGGAATGCGAAGTTCGAATGTGTCATGGATACTGTCCAGTGAGTTTTTATCTCTTCAATTTTTTAATGACAATTTTTGCGCTATTCAACATCATGAATATGTTGTCCCGGGGGAGGGGGGGGGGGGGGGGTCAGCACATTCCAGTTTTGCCAAAGGTCACTGAAATGCACCCAGGTTGGGAAAGCCTAAGTTGAAAAAATCTGAGAAGCATGAATCCTATTGCTTTCATGAATCTCCAATGCTGATCCTGTGCAAGGAATTTTAGAAAAAAGCCAACCAGTGAGGATTTTTACTCTCCAAGCTAATTTTTCTGCAGGACTATGAAAAAATTCATTCAACCCTTTGTATAATGGGCTTAATTTGTGCAATTGACAAGTCTGTTCGACAAAAAGTCCTTTAGACAAATTAAATTACTATATAGAAAAATTAAAACTTTAAATTGTCAAAACTAATTTTGAACCAATAGAAGTCTGTTGGAGGAATTTTGTCTGTTGGGCGGGAGGAAGAACTGCCTGCAGATTTGGTCTGTTATACAAACAACCCTTATAGGCAGGAGGTCTGTTAGGTTGGGGGCCAATGTATTGGAATTTTTCCCAACTTTGGCCTCAGTCCAAAAACCATATATATAATTTTTTTTAATTTTCAGTGCTCATGGGCACACAATTTTGAAAAAATATTCCAAATTTGCTGCACCAAGATCAAGGTCTAAGATATCAACAATTGCAAAATCCTGTAATTATTTTTTTTCTGGCTTTCTCTTAAGGAAAATGCTTGTTTTCTGATTTGTTTTTGCTGGTTTGTCATTGAAGCTCAACTAAAAGATGTTCTGCTGTTGAAGAAAAAAAGGTACTTTCCTGTTATCTTAGTACCTCATCCCTAGACTGCACTACCATCCAGACAAATAAAGTTAGGTTAGGTCAGGTTAAATTGGTCATAGGTAAGGTACTGAGATAACAGGAAAGTAGGTACTGAGATAACAGGAAAGTACCAAAACAAAGGAAAGCATTTTTTAAACATGCAAAATTCTTGGAAAATTGCAGTCCCAGCCTTGCCATTGGAGGTCAGCCGGAAGACGGAAGCGTGATTTGCCCGCCTTGGGCCACAGCAGCGGCAGTCACCACGTGGCCGGGGTTCCGAGCCTGAAATCCGGGCCCTATGTGCCGTACCCGGGCTTCCCGAGACAAGCCCGACTGACTCGCGGCGACGACATCGAGTTCACCGACGAGGAGGAAGACGGGTTCAGCCAAAGCGGAAGTGCGTCGAATGTTACCACCATCAGCCTGTTCCAGGCCCTGCAAGTCCTCAAGGACGTGCCGGAAGACGAGCTGCCAGCCGACACCGACGACGAGGCTAACAGGAACAGTGCTTCCGGGACCAGGTCCCAATCGGATGTGCAAAAGGGTGGTAAGTGAACAATATATATACAGTATATATATACAGTATATACATACGATATATCCCGGCTATATACTGTAAATATACATGCATATTAACCCCCCCTTTTCGTTGGTGTTGGATGCGATGTCTATATATTGATTGACAAAAACCCACTGGGCTCCAAAAAAAAAAGTGCAGGAACAAGTGAGCGCAACCCAAACGATGGGTGTAGTATCATCAGCGAGATTTCGATGATCAATGTGCTGTATAGTTGATGAGAAAATCAAAAATCACAGGAAAAAGTTGTTTCTCAATAACAATCATCTTGGACAATGTAATGCTCGAATTTCATCAAGTTTACACCTAAAATTAACATTTTGTCAAGATTTATGGAAAGTATAGGTGGACTCTCTCTGCAATGATTGTGTTCATAACAATGTTTTTGGTATAACGCTTTTTTTGTGGACCTGTATATAGGCTTCTCTCCTCAGATATCGAAGGGGTTCACTGAAATGGAATGCTCTGTGCAAATAATTTTTTTATTGTCCCTTGGATTTTTTTGTAGATGAGAGAGTTAATCTGTGTAAGAAAAGAAAGATATACAATGGGGCCCCCAAGATGCAGGCATAATTGGTGCTTGAACCTTGTCCCTATGTTGGATCATGCTTTCCTATTAATTTCAAGTGGAACATGTTTGATTGGTTCTTCAGTTCATCAAGAAAAAATGCACTGATTTAGTGGTTTCCTATACAGTATGGCTTTGTAGTGCTTGTCTAGACCAAATAAAGAGTTTACAATGCAACCTTCAAGGGAAACACACTTTCTGTGGGCCACTGCCCTCA